TAAGGATGTGGGTGTAATTCTATGGCTACTATCTTAGTAATTCTTTTCTAGACGGCAGGAACAGAGCAAGGTTAAAGCTGTGTTTGGTAAACAAGCAGCAGCCACTCACATAATCCAGGACAGAGACATATTTAGTCATTTTGTAGTTTAGGAAACATTTTTGTTTCTGTCGTGTTCAGACATGATTACAGGGTCTTTCTTTAATCTTGACCCTTCATGTCTCAGTGGCTTTGTCTAATTTCAAATGTTGTGAAATTGTCTATATTCAACAGAAGGAGACCAAGTCTTCTTGGGAGTGCCAAGCCACCTTCTGGCTGTCAGGGACTGTGTTGCTATTTCTCAACTACACACCCTTTTGTGCCTTTACAGTTTGGTACCATACACTTATCTTACCTATTCAAAATAAGTTTTCAAAGAATATCAGGACTAAAGGAGACCTTAAAAGTCACTGAGTTCTGAAACCATGCCCTTCTACCACCACTCTGCTTCCTCCTCCCACACCAAGGGGGTTTTCTTGTAAACCTCTCCCTTTGCCTCAAGTGCCAGGACAGCATCTGCTTGAATATCTCCAGTCTCACCATTGTACTAACTTGTCAGGCAGCCCATCCCATAGTCAAATGGCTCTTAAAATTTTATTGTTCAGAGGTAAAGAGAACAGTATCTTTGGTTATAATATCTTCATTGCTTTCTCCCTAGCATTTCTGACCTCTTCAAATGTGTCTTGTCTTACGGTAACTCAGGAAACAAAATAATTAGCTTTTTAATTTTATGTAAAATATTCCTATTAATACCCTCCAAACTGCCATTGTCTTTTTTGTTCCAGTGTTCCAACAGAGTTTTGTATTTTTTATCATTACATTTGCAGAGATTCTTATCTGTTACTGCCGACAAATCCATTTGTGTTTTGTACTCAATTACATATAATTAGTCTTTTCTTCATGAACAAAAGAACAGGTGTCTTTATCCATTCTGTGCAAGATGCTATGGTAAGGTTGGTTAGACCTAATGATGTCTAGTGAACCAAACAACACATTTCTGACAGATGCTCATAGTAACAAGATTCTTTTTTCAAACAATCAACTGCTTCTACTCCTACACACACAAAGTAGAGGAAGAAAAGACATTTTAACAACTTAGAAGCTTATAATTTTTCTATAAAAGAAATGAGTAGAATTTAAATTCTTCTTTGATATTTTTACTTCTAATCCCCACTCAGACAAAGTATATGTAAAATTATTTATTTTTATTTGATATTCTTCATTAAAATAAGCGGGGAGAGGGTCAGAAGAAAGCACATTAGTTGAAAAACTGATAACATTTTAATAAAAGCTATAGCTCTCTGTAAATAATATTCACAAGTGTTAATTTTCTGACGTTGATCATTATGTTGTTATGTAAAATGATACCATTAGGAGAAGCTGGATAAAATGTATAAAGGAATTCACTTTTATTACTTTGTAATTTTTCTGAAATCTTAAATGATTTTTTAAGTTAAAAAAATATGTGGGGCTGGTCGCAGTGACCCACGCCTGTAATTCCAGCACTTTGGGAGGACAAGGCAGGTGGATCACGAGGTCAGGAGATCGAGACCATCCTGGCCAACATGGTGAAACCCCGTCTCTACTAAAAATACAAAAATTAGCTGGGCGTGGTGGC